CCCTCGCCAGCCGCTCCCTCCTTCCCGGAGCATGCACGCTCCTTCCCCCAGCTCACACCCCGGCCCACGGATTGAGAGGGTCCGTGCCCTTAGTCACTGCCACCCCGAAGCCCCCCTCCTTGTCTGCAGCTACCCTTGTCCTGCTCGGGGATGCTATTTGGGAGGTGACGCCAACGGCTCAGGGGGTCCCGCGCGGGGCAGTCAGGGTCCTGCTCGCGCTCTCCCACCGGGGCTGTGTTTTCGTGCCCTTCATGCCAAGGGGACCCTCGGGGATTACTTCATCCTCCCCACTACCTGGGGGCTCTGGAAATGAATTATTAGAGTTAGGAGCAGCCTGCTGAATGCTGCTGGAGTCATTAGGAGCTCGTTAGAGCGTTAGCTGTTAGGGAAGCCTGAGCACCGCTCTCCGCTTGCCGAGGGTGGATCCTTCCCAGCCTGGCCAAGGAGTGCGGGATGGGGCAGAGACAGGCCAGGAATGGGGCTCTGACCCCAAACTGGGGCTGGAGGAAGATGCTCAAAGCAGACAGCAGGAGCCTTCCCCCGCCACGCTCCCTCCTATCTTCTTGACCGCCGGAGTGAGTCCCCGGGGCTGGCGCTGCTGGAGGGACGGAGCCTCGCTGCTGGGCACGGGCTGGTGATGATCAGTGCCCTGTGGGCTCCTTCAGGGGTAATTATGGACTAGGTCGTTACAGTATTAATTAACTGTCTTTCTCTTAACCTCTGAGCTCTCCTCGGAAGATGTTAGTTGCTATGAAAGAGGAAAAAATTAGTGTGTTGAGATGGGGGGAAATTATCTTTTTTTTTTTCCTCTTGATCAGCAGGAGTCTGCTTAATTGGCCCTGCTGCCTCCTTACCTCCTGCTGCCAGCAGCTTTCGTGCCTTTAAAGGACAGATAAGCGTGGCTCCACGAGGAGCCGTGGGGTGACCTGGCTGGGCATGGGCAAGGAGGCTGGGCATGGGCAAGGAGGCTGGGCAAGGCAAGGATGCTGGTGATCTCTGCTTTATGGGGCAGCAGCAACGCTCTGCCCCAAGGGTGCAAGTTTGGGTGCCCCAGGAGCCGCAGTGCTGGGGGGGGGGGGGGGGCACATCTCGGTGCTCCCCATCCCTTTGCTGCCTGCAGCTGGTGGACAGGACCCTCCTGTGGCGTCGCTGGTGTCCCTGAGGTTCTGTTGGTGCCTGCTGCCTCCTGATAACGCCAGCAGCCGCCCTGGGTGTTGCTGGCAGGGAGGGGAGCTGCTCGCAGGGGCCAGGCGCTGGGTCTGGGTGTGCAGGGAGGGGTTTGCTTTTTGGGGCTCTTGCTGGCCCAGGGGTTGCAAAGCTGGCGTGACCGGGGCTGGAGTGGGGGCTGTTTGCTGTGGGGTGGTGCTGGGATCGCCACGTGATGGTCTGGTGCCGTTCTGCTGGGTTTGGGAGGGCTGATGCATCCCCTGTGCTCCCGGGACACAGCGATGGGTGTTTTCCCTCCTTCCTCCCGTCCTCGTCTGGCCTCTTGCCGTGCTACCTCTGGAGCTCTGTCTCAGTGCTGATGCTGCCTTAGTGGCCCTTTCCCTTTTATTATTCATTTATATTGCTCTAGGAAAAGCTTCATTTTCCCTCCATAAAGAGCCTCCCTTGCAGACTCTTTGCCTCTGTAGTGCCGGAGAGGTGTCTGGGAGCATCGCTGCTGGCATCTGAGCTTGGGAGCAGAGCTGGAGGGTGCCTTGGGCAAGAGAAAGCCCTTTCCCCCTCTGGGCTTTGCTGCTCCGCCTGCTCCGTGTCCCCAGTGCCTGCCCTCTCCGCCTGGGATGCCAGCGGGGACTCCCAGGGAAGGGGGGAGCTGTGGGTGCTCGTGGTCCCTGCCTGGCCGCAGTGTTTAGGTCTCGCTGGTTGAAGCAGTTTTGGGGCTCACCTGCCCTTGCTGGGCAGGGCTGGGGTGTAACTTGTCTGGCAGCAGTTTGGGGCTGTGAGAGCCGAGGCTGAGAGCCCAATTGCTGCCGTCGAGGGGACGGCGCCAGAGCTTGCAAGCAGAGTACAGAGGGCTTCCCGAGGCACCGCTGGAGAGGGCATCGTTAATGCAAAAGCCTCTTCATTTTAGAGAGACGTGGGGGTTTTAGTAGCCTCCCTGGCTCCCGCTGAATCTCTCCACTGATTACAAGTCTGTTGGGTCCTGCGAGCCCCTCGCCATCGGTGGGGGCTGATGCGGCGGGATGCCTCCGCTTACCTGTTGGCAGCGCAGCGAGCCGGCGCTCCCGCCCCGGGACAGCAGCTTGCGGAGGAAGCAGCTGTTTTCCACTGCCGAGATGTATTTTTAAACTAAACTGAATGGGAGCTTTTTTTCTGGGCCGGGCAGCTGGGGGTTGAGTGAAGAACCACCTGGGCGCCCTTCCTGCCCAGCCCCATGTGCTGCCGGAGCTGCTGCCGCCGGTTTTTCCCGCGGCGTGGCTGAGCGCCTGTGAAACGCCCCACTCCATGCCGAGCCCGTCTGAGCTCCCTGCAAGGTCAACTTCTTCTCATCCAGGTTTTCTGCTCAAATCATGCCGGGTGAACAAGCCGGCACCTCCAACCCATGTTATTTCTGGCAGGTGCCCACCCTCGGGTGCCGTTGCTCCCACTCGCCCATCCCGTGGGGCGCGTGCATTTATTAGCAGACCTTCTAATGCCGGTATTTTTGTTTCCCATCCTTGTTTTTGCAGCTCCAGTTGCTGTGGTATCCAGGGAGCCCTCCTCCTTCTGCGGGAGATGCACGCTGGTCGTTGCTAAGGTCGCCTCCGCGGTAACATGCACATCCTGTTTACACCTTTATCCGGAGAAGTTGGGCTCGGATAGAGGCACCCGCTTCACCCGGGCAGCCCCCAGGGAAGGGGCCGCACCGAGCATCCCCCCACCGGACCCTCGAGGGAGGGCGTTGCAGGAGCTGCCAGCCGGCGTCGCTGCCGCTGCGCCGGCAAGATGACGAACAACATGGCCGACCACCACCCCGGGAACTCAGTTGCTGAAGGCAACCATGAGGGGGACTTTGGTTGCTCCATGGTGGAGCTCAGGAACCTCATGGAGCTGAGGAGCGCCGAGGCGGTCGCCCGGCTCAATGACTCCTACGGCGGCGTGCAGAATGTTTGCAAGAGGTTGAAGACGTCACCAGTTGAAGGTAAGCGGCCGTCCTGTGAGGAGGGACCACCCGCTCGGGTCCGGCTGGGGCCCCTGGGCCGGAGCACGCAAGGTTCACGCTGGAGGGTGGTGGCTCAAATAGTTGTCTTGTGGCTGAGCTTAAAGCGTGGTCCCGCTGTGCCGGGCACCCATCGCAAGCCCCATGGCTCCCTGCAGCTTAATAAAATGATCATTTAAGGTAGAGAAGGGGGGAAAAAGCAAAAGAGAAGCCTCTTCCCTGGGGTTTCCCCTGAGGCTTAGCCCCGTGTCCCCTGGGAGGATGGAGCGGAGGGGGGATGTGGGCAGGGGTGAGGAGCCGACGGGGCATAAGAGGGGTGTGTGGGGGGGCTCCTCTGCCCAGCCCAGCTGCTGCCCCGCAGGTCAGCGCCAGCCTTTCCCCTGTTTAATAATTAATTTACAGCGCTAACGGCAGGGCTGCGTGGGGTGCGGGTGAAGGAGAGTGTAAAGGTTGGAGCGTGCCAGGGAGGTGGCCAGGCTGCATGGAGCTCGATTGCAGGCACCTCAGCCAAGGGATGGGCAATGCATCCCCGAAACGGGTGGCTGCTGGGGATGGGGAGATGTGCGTGGGCTTCCCCCGGATCCACAGGGCGTCTTGAGAGGCTGTGGGAACATAAAACCTGCTTGGGTGCCTCTGAGCATCACAGGTTTGAGCGGTGGCAGTGATGCTTGCCTGCAGGGGCCAGGTCACTTTTGGGGAGGCTTTGGGGGAAGGATGTCACCTCTACTCCCCGTGGTCCGGGCTGGCCTTTCCAGGTGCCCGTATCAAGCGGTAGGTGCTGGGGCTCCCAGCGTGGGGTGGCTGTGGGTGTCTTTGCACGATGATGCACCCCTTCCTTGGCATTAAAAGGGGTACAGCGGGAGCGAGACCCCCTGCTTACAGCACCAAGGGTTTACCTGGGGCTGGGAACAGCACTGGCAGGATGCGGCCCCGCAGTGGCTGTGTGGGATGGGGGTCATGGCTGCGCCTCGGCTCTGAAAAGTTGCGGGTTATTATTAGTGCCGTAAACTGGGGATTAGCGTGTTTCCCAGCTGTGAGCGGGACCGGGAAGGGGAGACAATATCGGGATGTCATTAGAGAAGGGGGGGGAGTCCCGGTGGAAATACCAAGTCCAGGTCGCAAAACAATGCACTTGGCCCTGCCAGCC